ATAACTGTCTTTGCTTTCACAGGTTTAAATGGTTTTCATTAATACTCATCCTTATTACAAGAGATTGCTGTTAATTGACCTACAAGAAACTCTCACTAGTCTATTTATAGTTACAAACTTAAACCTGGAAAAGAAGTCCTATAATTCAAGATGGCCAAATACATCTGAGTACACTCTAGTCTACTAGCAATTGCCTTATATGCGCCTGTCTCTCTGTCCAACTTGTAAGTGGTTACAATACGTACAGCTGTCTTTGTTTGACCTCAACAATTTTTTTCTTTTCTCTTTTTAGATTTTCAAAATATTTGTCTATAATTTAAGTTATATTTGTCTATAATTTAAGTTGTCTTAAATTAAGCTTATACATATTACTACAGTTAAGGAAATGCTTCCACCCACGTTACAAACTGATCAAAATGATGTCAAGACTTGTTTTACAAATACAATACATAATGTTGCATGTGCACAATAACTTGAAACTCTTCCATTTGTAAAAATAATGGATTGTTATGATCTAGTTTTCATATGTGATAAAAAATTTGTTATGATAATTCAGTGAGGACACCTTAGGCTTTTGGAAACTCCTAGAAGGACTCTCTTCAGTGAATGAAGAAGCACCTGCCTGGAAATAGATTCTTTTAGCCTTTTTCTACTAATAGGCCCACAATAATTTCCATAGCTTTGTGGGAGACATACCCCAATAAGTGCTGCTAAGCATATTACTATAACATATGTCCTATTGGTTATCATCAAAAGGTTAAGTTTTCTGTGGTAAAACCATAAGTTTTTCTTAATAAAGATGCTTTTGGTACAAAACTAAATTAAGAGACACAGGTTTGCATACAGCTATGATATTCATTATTGTTAATCTCATGGTGTGCTAAATATATCCATGCCTCTTCAGTGTACAATTTTTATAATACGAAAAACTAAGATTGTTTATGGTGACAACATTTTCTAGACTCAGATATAAGCCTCTCTCCTGTGCTCCAGTTGCATGTGATAAGAGGCATAAGGCAAGCCAGCTTGAATTCACCAAATAGATTATAGTTTTTTTAAGGCTTATGTGTATGTTATGTCATTACATTCAGGGAAACTCAGGGACCAAAGAGTCTGTGCAATGTCGCACACTACAATTAGAGGCTAGACATTATAAACATGTAAGGTAGATTTACAGGCCAGTATAGCCTCCGTGCATGACAACCTATGAAAGATAATATATTAGGTGATGGCTTTTTTGTATCATTTTATGTCTTGTGATCAGGTGGAGATGTTTGGCCAAGAAGGCTATCCTATCCTACGATGGAAATTTAAATGGATTTCAATGATAATATCATGACTGCCATGCTGAAATACTATGTGCGGCTGTTGATTTAAAGTTTTTGTGTGTAAAACTATACCAGTGTGGTTTGGTAACATTCTTCAGGGACTCACCTACTAAAACAACCATGGTTGGTTAGCAATAACAGTCCTCTGGCTATATTTTATATTTCAGAAACTTGCTATGCAGGTGAGATGATAATAGTTTAGTTCACTGCTCCATCTGCAATACTAATGTCACTGCTCTTCTCTTCTGGATCTCTTCTCTAAAGTTTAGAGATCAGAACTTAAAAGGGAAGTGGGCTATGAGGACAGCCAATATTTTGGCCCTGGCCCTTCAAGATGAACAAGGACACAGGACATGAGGGAACTTTTCTACGAGATCCTACACTTTTGGTGAGTCACTCCACCCCCAGAGAAGGGAGATTACTGGACCCCAGAGGACAAGAATTAGTAAGGATACAGTATGCTAAAAGAAGGTCACCAAGAGAAGAAGTTTCCCATGCTTTCACACAAATCAACATGATCAAGCAAGGGTGTGACCCATCCTGATGCCTGACACTGACAGATGAGCTGAGAGGAGCTGTACATGGTTCCAAAATAATGCCTGAGGAGACTTAACTGACCTTGAAAGACAGTATGAGGGAAATGTTAATTAACACAGGTCTCATTTTAATTTGGTCCTAAACACTCAGCAGAATATTATAATGAAATGGTGCATAAAAACAATACCATAATAATAAGATCTAGACATGAAAAGGGGCTCCAGTCACTGACCATCTTCTGGCAGTTTCCAGATGCATCAATAGTTGGCAGCTATGCTTCATCAATACAGAAAAAACTACAGTTGAACCCATAAAAAACATAAGAGTATCTAAATTCCTTCTCTCCATCTTCTTATAGCTACACTAGAAGGACCTCCATCAGCAGAGGGGTCTAAGAGCCAAGTGGGTACAATTGCTATACCAGTACCTTAGGAATAGTTTCTGGATGTGGCTCTCTCCCCATCCTGCCTTTCCATTCTACTGCTTATGGCTCGATTATACATGCTTTAATTTCTTGCAAAATTTGTTTATTCCTTTCTAGAGACTGCCAAACTCCCAATGATCATGGAGATGGAACCAATGACAAATGAGCCAGACTCGTTCAAGATTCATGGAATTGCCCTTGGAAAGAGATCATAGCTGCTAAACTGCAACATGAATTCTATAGGGGGCGCATTAGATTAACTCTCTGGAGTAGGTTCCTGAATGTGGCTTCCCCTAAACTGACACTTCTCAGCTCGAAGCATCTAGATGGAAACTATCCCCTAATTGCAGTTGGGGAAACCTCATCAGAGGGGGCAACGTTGTACACAGCTAAGTTACTTAGAAGTACAGTAGGCAGTCAGAAGGGACTGGGCACTTGGAGAGATGAAAATGCATCAGCAGTGTAGCTGAAGGTGCATCTTAAGAATAAAGTCACAATGGCTAGTTTTACATGCTTCCATAAGGGATGAAAGGAGGTATTATGGTTGATACATTGTGTCAACCTGAGGAGTCCACAGGCTTAACTAAGGAACTCAGCAGTTCTTCATCCCAGGGTGAAAAGGACATGCCATAACAGCTCTATAATGTTGTTCATTGTGTCAATTTGAGAAGTTCAGAAGGCTAAGGGACTTAACAGGAAGCCAGGGTCCTTACTTTATATTGATTCTGAGCCTGTGCAAGAGGAAGGCATGGAGATGGTGTGGGTGTAAAGGATCTCCCCCCATCAGGGCGGGTAGCATGCAGACAGTACAAGGGTGGAAAAGAGTCTTGTTCTCAGATTTGTGCTCTTGCTGCTTTTGCTGTTTTCTGCCACCTTGAACTGTTTCCCCTTACCATGCTACCCTGCCTTGCAGTGAGATGATTACAGACTGAAACCTTCACAAACTGTGAGCTAAATATACCTTTGCAACCTTAACTTTGTGCATCAGGTATTTTCTACTAGCAATAAAAGAAAGTAACCAAGACAAGAGGCTTGAGATTATCAGCATCACGTTTTTGAGATTTTCCATTGCCTCATTGTGGGTGGACCACTCTGTCCCCACCTACTAAGGCTAGGACCACTACGATGAAGATTGGGACTGAGACTAAGACTGCTAAAACTAAAGACAAGACTAGGACTACAGATTATTGACCAAGGTTAATGATGTCACTCATGTACACTTGCTGCCATTGATGAATACTTCTTAAGAGACTGCATTGGCAATCTCATTGGTTTATCATAATTTTGATCCATGTAGTACTCACCTCATGATTTTGCTCCACAAAATTTCCGTTGAGAGGTGGGCTCATTGGCAACATACTTGCAGCTCCTCTTGTCTCTCAGGAGCTATTCCTGATCCCCATTCCTCTATTCCTACTCCTCATTTCTTTTCCCCAATCATTTATCTACTATTACAAAAAAAGGTTGGGGCTCACTGTGTCCATGGGCAGATGGGCTTCTTTAATAACAGTAATTTTCTGAATATAATTGAAGAAATTAAGTAAATTCAGGTACATATATATTTTTAACAGTATAAGACAATAAAGAAAAAGAAATTCAAAACCAAGAATTGATTTTATCAGTATTTCTATTTCTAGGTCCCATACAAATTCATGTCAATTTCTTATAAATTACCAAAAAATTTAAGATGTGAATTGTGTTTTATCATAAGAAAATTAAAATGTACCAGTTTGTTTTACAGAATAGGAAAAACTCTTACACCTGCAATTCAAAAGTAAAATTCATTTGTCATCAATGTCAAACAAAATCACATTCATGTAAGAATTCACAAATGATAATATCAGTAAAAATATACATGTGTGATCAGAAGAATTCTTCAAATCAGATTTTCAAATTACTTCAGTCCCTCAAAAAAAAAAGATTTCACAAAGTCACGAAGGAAACACATCTTGATCTCCAAGTAACACAAAGAGAAGAGACATCAAGATGCTGTGCATGGTATTCTATCCCCTCCCCTGACCCTCCATTACTTAAAAAACTGTCTGCTCTCCAGAAACACAGCCTGAAAATGGTCCTCATTTCCCGTGGGCTGGGAACTAAGCCCGTGATGTGCTGTGGAGCACTTCCTGTCACTGTGACGCACCTTGCCCGGCAGAGGCCCT